CTCTCACACTCACTGTCTCTTGCTCCCTCTTTTTTCATTTTTATTTTTTATTTTTTATTTTTTTGGTCTGCCTGGGTTATTTCAAAAAGACTATCTTCAGGATCATAAATTACTTCTTCTAATTACTCTAGCCTTAAACTCTTGGTTATGTTTTCTATTTCATTGAATGAATCCTTTAGTTTCAGGAGTCCTGCTACATTCTCTTTTAAGGTATTAATCTCTTTGTAAATTTCCTCCTTCATATCCTGGATTGTTTTTCTTGTTTCATTATGGTATCTAACTGAGTCTTCTTGTATCTCATTGAGTTTCCTTAGGATTGTTGCTTGGAATTCTTTTTCAGACATTTCAAGGGTTTCCTGCTGTGTGGGATCTGGTACTTTAAAATTATTGTATTTTTATGGTGGTGTTATATTTTCCTGTTTTTTTTATATGCCTAGTATCTATATTGTTGTCATCTGATAGAATTGCTTTTACTCTTACTCAGAAGTGGGCTTTGAGGAGAGAGACTTTATCTTGTAGATGTGTTTTACATTTACAGTAGAGTAGTGTGTTTTAGTATTGGTTTTGGATAGACACAGTAGTGTAGTCTCCATAGGGATACTTCGGTCATATTCAATGTCAAAGTTGCATGTGAGTGCCTCCAAGTCCTATGCACTGGGGCACTTAGTGATTCCTTACTGAAGTTAGTGACACTATGTTGGTTCATTGAGGATGTGGGCAGGCTCTCAAGGTCTTGGGAGAAGTGTTTGGGAGCCCCGTAGCTTTCTGGCTGGGGTGGTTAACCCTGGGTGGCCTTGTTGGCACCCCAGCTAGTGTCTTATGACCCTGATGGGGGCTCTGGAGTGATCTGAAGTTCTTTAGCTTAAATGGATGACCCTGGGTAGGGATCCTGGAGGACAGGAGTAAGACTTTAAGCTTTGAGGGGGATAATGGGGAGTGATCAACAACCCCTCAGTTAAAGTGGGTGAAAGTATGGAACATTTCATGAATTTGCATGTCATCCTTTCACAGGAGTGATGCTAATCATCTCTGTATCATTCCAATTTTAGTATATGTGCTGCTTAAGTGAGCACTTCTGTTTAATCTTGAAAGATAATTTCATTTATACAGAGTTATAAACTGGCAATTGTTTTCCTGAGAACCACGAAGATATTACTCCACTGACTTCTGAATTTTGTTGTTATTAAGAAGTCTGTTAAACTATCTTCTTAAAAGAATTATCTTTTTAAAAAATTATGTTACTTATCATAAAAGTATGTTGTACTTTTACTATGATGCATATGAATCTGAATTTCTATTAATTTATCACACTACGGATTCATAAATATTCCTGAGTGTCAGGATTGGTGTCTTTCACCATTTCTGGAAGATTGTCAATTATTTCTTCAAATATTGCCTGTGTCACCATTTTTTTCCTCTCCTTCTCTTCCAGGACTCAATTATAAGTATTCCAGTTTTGATTTTTTTTTTTTTTTTACTGCTTCAACTATATTTCTTACTCTTTATTCCCCTCCCTGCCCCCTTTTTTTGTAGGTCTGCATTATATTCTGAATAATTTGTTCTGTTATACCTTTCAGGACCCCTAGTTCTCTCTTTATCTGTGTTTAATATACTTATGAATCTATCCATTGAGATTTTAACTTCAGTTATTGTTTTATTTAGTTCTAAAATTTATAATTGGTTCCTTATTAAATATGCTCTGTTTTTATTACTTCTTGCATATCCATGCTTATCTTTTATTTAATTTTAATAAAATAAATGTAATGATGTTGTAGTCTCTGTCCAACAATTCAGTGTCTCAAGTCTTTGGTTTTATTGTCTATTGCTTGTGTTGGATATTACACATGCTCTATATTTTGTGTGTGGGCCTTATTGTCTTAGATTATGTGCTGATTCTTCTATTATGAAATTATTTGTATAAGTAGTTTGTTAGCTAGAAATATGTTACCTTCTTCCAGAGAGCATATTTCTTTAGTTATGTGAAGTACAAAGGAACATTTTTGCTTCAGGACCATCTTAATCCAAGTTCATGGCTCGAAGTTCTCCATACTGTCCAGGTGACAAAGTCAGGATGACAATCCATTTGAAAACTAGTCAATCCAATTTTACCATTTTTCTTCATTTGTATACCTTTGCTAGTCCACTTTACAGTTTTGAGAGATTAGCAAACTTTCCTTTTGTGTGTCAGGGGAACTGGACATTTTTGTCCCCTTTGCCATGTGAGACTACCAAAATGTTATCTCAGTTTGGTAGCTGCTTCTTCTGAATTATTAAATGCCTTCAGAGAAAAAAAATTGAACTTAACCCCTGAGTTCTTGATTTCTCCTAGATTTCAGCATGGTAATTCTTCATTGCCTGGTAATATCCTTGATGGTTTATTAAAACATGTTTTTCATATTTCATCCAACCTTTTTGTATATCCTCAGTAAAAGGTTGGCTGAAGATAGTCTATTGCTCTTGTGAATATATGCAAAGGTCACTTGTTCACCTATGTTGATGATCATGTGTCATATATGAATGCAAAGTGTTTTAAGAGAAGAGGGAAAGTTTTATTCAAAAGGATTGACAATTTTAGTATTTTAAATATTGCAATTGATAGTGGGCCAGATAATAAAGATGTCTTATAGAGCTTAATAAGAATTTGGTTTTAAGGAAGCTGATATTCTCTGAGTCAGTTTGGAAGTCTTGGGGGATTTTGAGCAGAGGGATGACATTATCAGATTTAGTTTTCTTCATTGGGCATTAGGAAATTAGAATAGAATTTATTACTAATTCTTATTTATAGCAGCATTCATAATTGGCTTATGCATATGCAAATTTTGGTTATTTATATAACTACTTATTCTTAATATTGTCATAAGCAACAATATAGGAACTCATCACCAAAATGAAATTTAGGACAATAACCTAGCTATATAATTTTTGGCTATTATTTTGTTAATGTGGCAAATTACATTAATAATTTTGGTATCAAGGTTATTTTGGATTTGTAGTATTAGTTGGAAATTGTTCCCTATTTTTAACGTGTTTGAAAGATGATATAAAAATTAGATTATTTGTTGCTTGAAAGTGTGATAGAAGTTACCTGCAAAATCATTTAGAACTGGTGGTTTTCTAAATTTTGTTTGGGGGGGGTACGTATGTATGTGTGAGGAGGTGGTTTTATTTTAAGAGATTTTAAACCACAGCTTTAATTTCTCTCATAATTATAAGACCGTTTAGGGTTTTTTTTCCCCCCTAAAGCTAGTTCTGATAAGATACATTTTGGGCAATGTGTCTATTTTGTCTGTTTTCAAAGATGTTGGAATTTAGTGGTTTATTGTCTATTTTTTATCAATCCTTTCTCTATAGGTATTTTATCTTCTTCATTCAATTTGTTATTTTTGTCTTTTTTCCCCGTCAATGTTACCATAGTTTTGCCTATTATTTTTGGTTATTTTTCAAAGAACCAACTTTTGACTGTTAGTCTTCTCTGTTTTATCTTTCTTTGTCTATTACATTGTTTTTCTCTCTTGTTTTTGTTTCTTTTTTTTTATTTCTCTGGTGTATACTCATAGTAGTGTCCAAAGCTATGAAATTCTCCTAAAGCACTGTTATCGTTGTACCCAAGGGAATATATATTTAATGTTTTCAACATAATTTATTTCTAAGAATAATTATAAAGAATTATTATAATTTCTTATTAGCTCATAAGATTTTTAACAGCCTATTTTTTAAATTTTTAAGTATGAAGAATATTTTTATTTATATTTTGGTTATTAACTTCTAATTTAATTATATTGTAATCAGAGATCATAGTATATACACTATTTTTTTGCAATATGTTGAAGCTTTTCTTATTGGTTAAGTAAATTATCATTTTAATAAATATTTTTTGTGCTCGAAAAAATTAGATACTGTAAATATTGTTTGCAGAATTTATAAATATCAGTCTTGTGTGTTCAAAATTTTTGATGCATTTTTGCCTGATCTGTAAATAATTGAGAGCCGTGTTAACTCTCATTACAGTGGCAGATTCATTAATTTATCCCTCTACCTTCGTAATTTTTGCTTTATATACTCAGAAGCCATTTTACTAAATTCCTAGTTATTTTTAAATGCTATATCTTTTGGAAATTGAATTTTTTTATTATATAGTGAACTTCTTCATCCTTAGTAATTTCTTTTTTTTTTTTTTTTTTTTTGCAATATTAACTCGATTTGTGTATTTTCATATCACTGTGATTGATTAGGCCTGAGCTACAGGCCTATTCCTGGAATTACGCTAGATGTCAATATCACCTCACGTGGTTAATGGTGTGGATTAACAATGAAGGATGGATGTTTTCCAAGAGAAAATTAGGGCTTCTATT